TTTTGTGTGTAATATGTGTAATATTTCTTAATGTTTTTTGTTTGTTTTTGACTTTTTATCGATTCATGTAAGCTAGATTACTTCTCTAATAAGCTGTATGTAAACCAATGTCTTAAATTAGGTACATTATGTGAAAACTGTTTTATACGGTCATCATAAAATAGCAAAACAAGTACGCTTTCCCTATTTGTGAGTATTGCACAGTCAACATATTATTTTATGGAAAAACTTGTTTCCAACTATGTTCGATTAACATTTGTCCTTATTAAAAAAAAATTTTATAGCAGTCGGTGGTTCTGAAGATAATCCAATTTTTAGGCCCATATTTGTAAAATTACCTGTGTACCTAAATAGCATACATTGGATTTAAACTAAGAAACGTGGCGTCGAAAATTTTTTTTTAAAAACGTTTAGATTCTTGAAAATGTTTATATTTATGAAAAGTCTGGGCAAATGTGACTTGTCCAAAGTTTCAAGCCAAGTCTCTGGGTAGTTCAAAGTCACCATCCAAGTTCAAATCAGTTTTAAAGCTTTAAAGGTAGACTAACACATATTTTGGGCTTATGATCCTTCAAAATGTCTTTGAAAATAGTGGTGTTGATAAATATAGTCTTATTAGGAAAAATCCAGTCGTTACCGCCGTTAAATATTGAAGAAAAGACAGAAAATATAAAAACCAAACTAAAGTCACATGAGACTTTAGGTGTTAAAAAATAATACAAAATATAGATTTTCATGTTTTTCGTCTTTGTACAACTGTAGATAAAAGACCAAGAAATGAGGTGAGTTTCATAAAGGTCGGCCAATAACCTACCAGGATACGCATAGCGACATTTTAATGTTTATATTAAAGTAGTCTGTCAGTATAAATTTGTATGCAACGCATGCTTTTTGCCAAACCAATTCTGATTTTATTTTTCATCACTATGCGTGTCCTGGTAAGTGGATCTTCATGAAACACACCTCATTTTGTTTGTCATTTATCTACTGTCGGACAAAGAAGAAAAACACTAAATTTATTTTTTGTTTATTTTTTAACACCTAAAGTCTCAAGTGACATTAGTTCGTTTTTTTATGTATTCCGTCTTTTCTTCATTTTTTACGGCGGTAGCGACTTGATTTCTCCTAAATTGACTATATTTATCAACACCAGTATTTTCAAAGACGTTTTGAAGGATCTTAAGTGCTAAATATGTGTTGCTGTACCTTTAAAGCCCTAAAACTGCTTTTAGCTTGCATTATGACTTTGAACTACCCAGATACATGGCTTGGAACTTTCTGGCAAGTCACATTTGCCCTGACTTTTCATAAATATGAATCTTATCAAGAATCTAAACGCCTTTTTTAAAAAAAAACTTTCGGCGCCATGTTTCCTAGTTTAAATTCAATGTGTCTTAGGCCTAGTATTCAACCTAACAAAAAGTCGTCCAAAACCAAAAACTTTATATAAAAAAACAACGTTTTTTGTATATAAAGTTTTTGGTTTTGGACGCATTTTTGTTAGGTTGAATACTAGGCCTTATTTAGGTACACAGTTCTTTTTACAAATATGGACCAAAAAGTTGGATTTTTTTCAGCACCGACTGCTATAAAATGATATTTTAATTAAGTTTAAATGTTAATCGACTGTGCAATACTCACAAATAGAGAAAGCGCACTTTTTGTGATATTTATATGATCATGGTTTCATAGAACACAATAAAATTAATTATTTACTTCCAACACTGTTCGAATCGTGTATGTATAAATTTTTGTTGGTATCTCCTAGGATACTTCGAAAGGTACCTAATCCTCGATAGTATAGTGGTTAGTATCCCCGCCTGTCACGCGGGAGACCGGGGTTCAATTCCCCGTCGGGGGAGAATGCGAACATTTTTTTCCTGCCCATTTTAGTTTTATTAAGACTTCTGTTCGCTTCAAACAAAATTTAACACAATGAGAGTAAAGAGCTTTAAAAGAAGAGAAAATAAAGAAGATAGAATTAAAAGCAGAATCAGAATTAAATTAGTAATAGTGAGATATAAATAAATTATAACAATGAAGATCGGCAAGCCGAAGTTTGTATACCCTTGCCGTTATAATTATTAAATTTAAAAATACAAAAAATGATATGATATGATAGAAATGATAATTATTAAATTTAAAAATACAAAAAATGATATTCCCAATAGTATAATAGGATAATATGTCAAAAAAACACCGATGCTATAATTTGTTTCATATTTTTTTTCCCACCAATTTTCCGATCGTTCCTATGGCAGCTATATGATATAGTCGTCCGATTTTGATAAAATTAAATTCGAAATTCAGAACTTATTACCAGTCCAGTCCTTACCAGTCCAGCATCAGACGCAATACTGTTTTTCTTGTTGACTATATCTACTATTATTCCAAAGCGAATTATTAAATTTGTAAACCAAATTAATAAATATTAAGAAAAACACGGAGTTTTCATTTGCGTCTTTTTAGAAAAGAACTCGGACATTATTACAACATACAAAACATTCACTGAGACCTCTTAGATCTTTTCGGAGGGTAGGCTGAAAAATCGGAGTGTCTGTTCCTAATGAGTTCGGAGATAAGTATATGCAATATTAATTTTCTTTAAGGAATGGGGATCGTTGGCATGTGTAGCAAGTTGCTCAAAACAGTCGGTATAAAATATCCGCAAACAAAAATACCCGTTACTCGTAGAGTAAAACCGTATTCTAGATTCGTCGGAAAATAAGTAACAGGTATAAGGAGGCGTTTTCTAGAGATTCCTGCGCAACTTGTTTTGTCAGGGTGCCACGGCCACAAGCCGCCCAAAAAAATGCGACCGAAATGTATAGCTCTTGTAAATACCATCAATTGACACTATGTGACGCTCACAGTTTTGATGCTAGAATAATAAATTAAACAGAAATGTATTGGTTTCATTAAAACCTATCGATTTTCCTAAAAAAAAAGTTGCCCACGACCAACTTCCAATTTGAAAGCGGTCATCTAAACGTTATTAACTTTGATCAATTTTCAATTTAAAAGCTGAGTAACGGGTATCTGATAGTCGAAACACTCGACTATAGTGTTCTCGCTGGTTTGTTATTGAATTAGTAAATAGTTAATTAATCTTCTAGTGCAATGTGCAATGATGACTTTACAACTTTGTACCATGTTTATAATTCCCATCTGAGTCCAGAGTATTATGAATGTTTACGAGTACAAGCGATGGGTATGTCCCATTCTACCTCTTTTTATGGTTACATGCTTTTTTCATAGTACCCTTAAAGTGACGTAACACAAGGGCAACTATCTAATGGGTCAAATTGCCAATTCGATGGGTTAAGCCCATTTTACTATTATATTGACCAATTTTACCAAAGAGTTTTTTGTCTGTATATAAATTGCTTGCCTGAATGAAACTCCCAGCCTTGACCAATTCGCCAACAGCAATGATTGCTGATGTGGTAAATATTCCACTTGCCAGTTTACAAATTGCCTACGGTTTTGAGAGAGGTAAATTTAATTGCTTGTTTATTTCATATTCGGTTTCGGTTTCCTATGGCTGATCAGCTGATTCTGCAACAGCGACATTCTATATGAACAGCTACATTTGTGTGCAGACGCTATGAACGTGACGCATCGATATAACGATAACGCAACTAATAGCTAACTAACAGAGAAGACACGATAATTTATACTAAATTATATATACTTTTCAGTATACTTTTTATCATAACGCAAGAAATATAATATGTTCGATATTGTGAAAAACAGATAACAGGAATAGATATGAGGGATGATTAACTATTTTTTTTAGCAATTGCCTTCGCTTCAGTCTTCTTTTAATTGTTGGGTTGGCCAAGGAAGCCGCTATGTGTGTTGCTGTGAGCAGTGAGGCGTTTGTTGTACCGACTCCAATGCCGGTTAGTCTTTATTCTAATACAGGGAATGTGGAGGTCATTAGCTAGGGCGTCCTTCCTGATGTACCAAGGCGCATCTGCAATCATAAGCAGCGCCCGGTTTTGGACTTTTATGACGATCGATTCTGACGCCATGCCCCATAATTGGACGCAATACGTCTTTAAGGACACCACAATTGATTTGAAAAGCAAAACTTTGTTGCCAAGGCTGAGCTTGCTCGTTGGCTTAAGCAGCCAGTTGAGCTTACTAGGCTTAGCATGACATGTGAAAACATGTGATTTAAAAAGTGCGCCAAAAAGCTAATGGAATGTTAGGAGGGTGACTCGGCTTTCGCTGCCAACATTTTGGTGGGACTGTACTGTCGGTATATTTCGGTATATATCAGGAAAAATACCAGATATGCCGACGGTATTTCGTATACGATCACACGCAAATGTTAGGAGGGTGTCTCGGCTATCGCTGCCAACATTTTGGTGGGACCGTACCGTCACACTGTCGATAGGTTCGATATCAAATAGCGTCTCCTGATATCGAAAAGCGAAAATCAAAATTGCCCAAAATCGGAGTTTTCAAACAAAAACAACAACGGCACGTCAAACCACAGCCAAGCCAAGCAAGAAAAATTTGGAATAAAAACAAAATAAGGTCTTATGGACAAACTGAGCGCAGTGCGCATTGCCGTCCGCGAGGCGCCTTACCGCCAGTTTTTGGGGCGTCGGGAGCCGAGCGTCGTTGAATTTCCGCCATGGGGCGATGGAAAGGTACAATTATCAATTTTGGGACCCAAGCAACTAACTGTAACTGACCATGTATCTGCAATTTTCAGTCGCTAGTGGTGGAGCAGAATGAATTCCACTTCGACCACGCCTTCCCGTCGACCGTCGGCCAGGATGAGATGTACCTGGCTCTGATCCTGCCGCTGGTAGAGAAGGCGCTCCAGGGATTCCAGTGCACGGCACTGGCCTACGGGCAGACGGGAACGGGGAAAAGCTACTCCATGGGAATGGCGCCTCCGGACAAGGTGGGTTCCAGTTCCTTGCTCATAGCAGCCCTTGATTTTCCCAACAGATCAATTTTTTTTGGGGAGATTATTATAGTTAGTGTATCCCAATAGCTATCCATCATTAGTTGAATGATCACTTTAAACTTTTAGTTTCAAAACGATTTTAAAGCTAGAATATCCCGTGTCTAAGTAGAATAACTCAACCACTTCATTATACCATATGCTCAAAACATAGAACTATGCTTTTAGTGTCAAAATATTTATATTAAAATAGGGTTTTTCTTTCAAATGGCATATATTTTGGCCTAATGATCATAATGGAATCCAACTTTCAATACATATGTATATTCCCTCCAATCCTCTGCAGATCCAAAAGCCCGAGCATCTTGGTGTTTTGCCCCGCTGTCTGGCCGACATCTTAGAGCGTGTGAATGCCAAGCAGGAGAACGAAAAGGAGCCCATCCAGGTGTTCGCTTCCTTTATCGAAATTTACAACGAAAAAGCCTATGATCTCCTGGGCTCCTCACCACATACGCCTATGGTGACTGCGCGTTGCCACAAATGCACCTGCCTTCCCTTGAGCAGCCAAGAGGATCTGCAGGACCTGCTGCAACAGGGCACGGGGAATCGTCGCGTGCGCTCTACCAAGATGAATTCCAGCAGTTCCAGATCACACGCCATAGTAACCATACATGTGAAAAGTAAAACCAGCCATGCGAGACTAAATATAGTTGATCTGGCCGGATCGGAGGGTGTAAGGCGCACCGGGCACGAGGGCGTGGCCAAGCAAGAGGGAGTCAACATCAACCTGGGACTGCTCAGCATCAACAAGGTGGTGATGTCCATGGCGGCTGGCCGCACTGTGATTCCCTACCGCGACAGTGTCCTCACCACAGTTCTACAAGGTGAGTGGAAACGTTCATAGAGTGTTACGCTTCTGCATATTCATATTTCTTAATTTGGTCGTTTTTATACCACCGCAAAACTGTGGCGCCCACAGAACAATAATTTACGAAACCAATACATTGTAGTTACAATTTGTATTCTAGCAATTTTCACATAAATAAATGACAAAAGGTCATTGTATTCCGTGCCGACCGCTGATTTAAAGCATCTGTTTTGTTAAAACCTTTATTGATAGTATAATTATCCTGATTATAATTCCACTATAAGAATTATGTACTTAATCTCCTTATCCTTTCCAGATTCGCTCACCGCGCAATCGTATCTAACCTTCCTGGCCTGCATCAGTCCCCATCGATGCGATCTTAGCGAGACGTTGGCCACTTTGCGCTTTGGCACCAGCGCCAAGAAGCTCCGCCTGAATCCAATGCAAGTGGCTCGCCAAAAGGTGAGCTTCCATACCCATTGCTTCCTAGATATAGTTAAAGTCCACGCAGTCGAGGATCACCTCTCGCATACGCTGTTTAAAAGTCGCCTCGTTGCCCACGCCCAGGAATCCGGCGCCCTGCAGATCCGTGGTGGCTCCGGCCTCGATTCGCTCGCTGATCGCTTGGAGGTCGGGCACATCCTGGCCCTGCATTGTCACGATGGGCAGAACCATCATGGCGAGGAGCAGGCCCACAGGAGCTTTGGTGGCCACTTGGTCATCGAAGGCAGGACGGGGAAGAAGTTGCTCCAACTGCTCGCCTAATCTGTTGCAAAAGTGTAAAAGTTCGAAACACTACCATCAAATCTCTCAGATTTGGTTTCTCTTACCTGTTTAGGTGCAGCCCCAACTCCTCGTAGTAGTCCTCCTGTGAAGAGGAAATAGGCTAGATCGGTGACCGGGGAGGCATATCGCATCAGTTGCCAATCGATCAGGCGAACATCCTCAAGATCTCCCCCCTCTGCTCTTTTGTAAAGGATGTTATTGTTCCAGCAATCGCCATGGCAGATAACAGCGAAGGGTTCGCAATTGGATCCGCTGATCAAAGGGAGCAGCAACTCAAAGTACGACCCTCTGGCAAAGTACGCCTCCAGGCGAATCCTGTAGGGATCATCCCCCGGTGAGACTAGTGAAGAAAGGGCACTTCCTTTGAGATTCTCAAAGTAGACACCCAACGCATGATCCTCAGGTCGCTGCTCAAAGATGTCCACCAGCTGCTGGAGTTTATGCATTCTCTCAGGAAACTGACGCTTCCCGGCCAGAGAAATCGCATGTAATTTGGCATAGGTGCAGATAACCTGACGCACATGCTCGATGGGTAGGTCCAGGAAGCGATTGTGGAGATGGAACCCAGAACAAGATAGGTCCTCCAGCACGATGCATTCGTTCGGCTCATCCTGACGAGTTCCGAAGCAAAGGGCGTGCTGCCGGAAACGATCCTCTGCGGGGCCGAAATCGAAAAGGACAGGCAACTGATGCCCCCACCTGGTGTGGGAAATGGACAGCCCAGCAGCCTGCACTCCACCGCAGTGAGCATTGCCGAGGTTGATGAGCAGGAGGAGCCAGCTGAGATGCCGTCGATCTCTGCCACAGTTCGCACCCAGCTCTTCAGGACAAATGTCAGTCCCATAAGTCTGCGGTCATCCAGCATACTAAAGGAACTCAGCGGGATCCAGCCAATGGAGGAGACTTTGATTACTGTTCCCAAGCAACCGTCTATTCTCCGACGCTCCATGCGTCTAGCCAACCAAAGACCGCAGAGCTACGGGGTCATTCCCAAAGTTATTAATTTGCGCAACGCGCAACAGTCAGCAAGCCAAGAACATTCCTCTTCCGTCTCGGTAAAAAAGGAGAAATTTAGCCAGCTCAAGGATCTCATTACACGGGTTGAAGCTCCCCCAAAAAGAAGTCGTTCGAGAAACAACACTTCTCCAGCCGATGAATGGATGGCCCATAATAAAAGTTTATTCCTTGACCTGCTCAACAGGGGCAGCGTGAAGGAGCTGCAGAAAATTCCCGGTATCGGCCCAAAGACAGCCTTTACTTTGGTTATGCATAGGTTAGTTGATATTGTATCTAATTGAATTTAGTCTTATCTGACTGTTGTTTCCTCAATTATTTAGATCTCGCCTGGGATGCTTCCTGAATCTAGATCAAGTAAAAGACCTGCCAATTTGGCCCGGAAAGAGCTGGAATAGGTTTAGCCAAGCCAACTGCTTGGAGATTTGATTAATACGTATATAAGATCAGTTTTACGTTCAATTATCTATAGGGTTTTTTCTTATGATTTACAAAATCCTTATTTATAAGTAGAACACATACCTTGACACTAACAATAAGGTTTTTGTGTGTAATATGTGTAATATTTCTTAATGTTTTTTGTTTGTTTTTGACTTTTTATCGATTCATGTAAGCTAGATTACTTCTCTAAAAAGCTGTATGTAAACCAATGTCTTAAATTAGGTACATTATGTGAAAAATGTTTTATACGGTCATCATAAATAGCAAAACAAGTACGCTTTCCCTATTTGTGAGTATTGCACAGTCAACATATTATTTTATGGAAAAACTTGTTTCCAACTATGTTCGATTAACATTTGTCCTTATTAAAAAAAATTTTATAGCAGTCGGTGGTTCTGAAGATAATCCAATTTTTAGGCCCATATTTGTAAAATTACCTGTGTACCTAAATAGCATACATTGGATTTAAACTAAGAAACGTGGCGTCGAAAATTTTTTTTTAAAAACGTTTAGATTCTTGAAAATGTTTATATTTATGAAAAGTCTGGGCAAATGTGACTTGCCACAAAGTTTCAAGCCAAGTCTCTGGGTAGTTCAAAGTCACCATCCAAGTTCAAATCAGTTTTAAAGCTTTAAAGGTAGACTAACACATATTTTGGGCTTATGATCCTTCAAAATGTGTTTGAAAATAGTGGTGTTGATAAATATAGTCTTATTAGGAAAAATCCAGTCGTTACCGCCGTTAAATATTGAAGAAAAGACAGAAAATATAAAAACCAAACTAAAGTCACATGAGACTTTAGGTGTTAAAAAATAATACAAAATATAGATTTTCATGTTTTTCGTCTTTGTACAACTGTAGATAAAAGACCAAGAAAATGAGGTGAGTTTCATAAAGGTCGGCCAATAACCTACCAGGATACGCATAGCGACATTTTAATGTTTATATTAAAGTAGTCTGTCAGTATAAATTTGCATGCAACGCATGCTTTTTGCCAAACCAATTCTGATTTTATTTTCATCACTATGCGTGTCCTGGTAAGTGGATCTTCATGAAACACACCTCATTTTGTTTGTCATTTTATCTACTGTCGGACAAAGAAGAAAAACACTAAATTTATTTTTTGTTTATTTTTTAACACCTAAAGTCTCAAGTGACATTAGTTCGTTTTTTTTATGTATTCCGTCTTTTCTTCATTTTTTACGGCGGTAGCGACTTGATTTCTCCTAAATTGACTATATTTATCAACACCAGTATTTTCAAAGACGTTTTGAAGGATCTTAAGTGCTAAATATGTGTTGCTGTACCTTTAAAGCCCTAAAACTGCTTTTAGCTTGCATTATGACTTTGAACTACCCAGATACATGGCTTGGAACTTTCTGGCAAGTCACATTTGCCCTGACTTTTCATAAATATGAATCTTATCAAGAATCTAAACGCCTTTTTTAAAAAAAAACTTTCGGCGCCATGTTTCCTAGTTTAAATTCAATGTGTCTTAGGCCTAGTATTCAACCTAACAAAAAGTCGTCCAAAACCAAAAACTTTATATAAAAAAACAACGTTTTTTGTATATAAAGTTTTTGGTTTTGGACGCATTTTTGTTAGGTTGAATACTAGGCCTTATTTAGGTACACAGTTCTTTTTACAAATATGGACCAAAAAGTTGGATTTTTTTCAGCACCGACTGCTATAAAATGATATTTTAATTAAGTTTAAATGTCAATCGACTGTGCAATACTCACAAATAGAGAAAGCGCACTTTTTGTGATATTTATATGATCATGGTTTCATAGAACACAATAAAATTAATTATTTACTTCCAACACTGTTCGAATCGTGTATGTATAAATTTTTGTTGGTATCTCCTAGGATACTTCGAAAGGTACCTAATCCTCGATAGTATAGTGGTTAGTATCCCCGCCTGTCACGCGGGAGACAATTCCCCGTCGGGGAGAATGCGAACATTTTTTTTCCTGCCCATTTTAGTTTTATTAAGACTTCTGTTCGCTTCAAACAAAATTTATCACAATGAGAGTAAAGAGCTTTAAAAGAAGAGAAAAATAAAGAAGATAGAATTAAAAGCAGAATCAGAATTAAATTAGTAATAGTGAGATATAAATAAATAATAACAATGAAGATCGGCAAACCGAAGCTTGTATACCCTTGCAGATATAATTATTAAATTTAAAAATAGAAATAATGATATTTCCAATAGTATAAGATAATATGTCAAAAAAACACCGATGCTATAATTTGTTTCATATTATTTTCCCACAAATTTTCCGATCGTTCCTATGGCAGCTATATGATATAGTCGTCCGATTTTGATAAAATTAAATACGAAATTCAGAACTAATAAAAAAATGTTATTTCCAAGCGCAGGAGGTTATGTGTTAAAAAACACCGAAGCTATAATTTTGTTTCATATTATTTTCCCACCAATTTTCCAATTGTTCCTATGTCAGCTATATGATAAAGTCGTCTGATTTTGATAAAATTAAATTCGAAATTCAGAACTAATAAAAAAATGTTAGTTCCAAGGGTAGGAGGGTTTATGTTAAAAACACCAAAGATATAATTTGACTTTTGGGAAAGTTTCAGCCCAATAGCTTTGAAACTGAGAGACTAGTTTGCGTAGAAACGGACGGACAGACGGACATGGCTAGATCGACTCGTCTAGTGCTGCTATTCAAGAATAAATATACTTTATGGGGTCGGAAACGTCTCCTTCACTGCGTTGCAAACTTCTGACTGCAATCATAATACCCTCTGCAAGGGTATAAAGATTTCAAGTTTTTCAAAAAAACTGCGGAAGAGTTGACTGAAGTTTCCGGGATACTGAAGTGTCGCTGTCTTTTAAACAATTTAAACGCCCTTCAGGAATTTAGGAACAAAGTTATTTCTAATGATGGACGAGCTATTTATATCCATTACTCGTAGATTATAATAGATTCGTCAGAAAGTATGTAACAGGTTGAATGAAGCGTTTCTGACCCTACAATTATATATTTTCTATTACGTCCGTCTGTATAAACCCTGAGATCTCGGATACAATAAGACGCTAGGTGACCCTGTTGCGGGGTGTGCATTATTGTGAATAGTCGCTTTGCTGCTTGCATATCTCCATCTCCCTCGCACTCCCCTTAGCTGAGTAAGGAGAACTTAAAAAACACATTTTTATTTTTTGTCTCAATAAATAATGGAGGTAACAAATAAATAACGGACGGGTTTTTAGATCGAATAATAGAATACTTGTTGTAGCTGTTCACCATAAGGTGTATAGGTCGAAGCTTTTTAGCTGGGAACTTCGCAAACTGGGAACGAAAAGGGGGTCATCTTCTCCCGACAATTAAGTGTGCTCTCGGGTTTATCACGATCTTGTCATCATTATCGAGTCATCCTGCTCTCATAATTGCCACCGAAGTCAAACGAGAACACGTTTATTCTTTTTTTGGTTAGCTTTTATTTGGGTGCAGTACAAACTATGACAAAAATTGCCTAATAAATGGAGCTTACTTTTTGGGCCGCTCCAAGAGCCTAGACTATGAGTTGCGGATCAACTGGATTGTTTTGGTTAAGGACATGGGACAGGACACAACTCTGGACAGAATCCGACTCGGTGATCGGATATCGTATACAATTTTGGTACAGCTGCTCGGAAATCGGATTCGAATTCGCGATAAGTATGTGCATTGAATTAAGTGGTATTGCTTAAATAAATAACTCTGCTGCCTTGCAAACAAAAGGAATTCTCATTTTGGATCACAATAAATCAAAAATATACATACATATATAATTTGTATATATAGATTAAGGTAAGAGCGCAAAAACAACTAGCGATGCGAATGATTTGGGGCGGGCACTGGGGAGGACTAGATAACAAGAGCAGCACGGCCTGCAAACTACAACAAAGCGCAACTAACAGGGTACACACAGTCTGCCGGGATTAACAGTTTGACCACAGGAGTATTTCAAGTACAAAATATCATCATCTGCTGCAGGGCTCAGCGCGATTCCTTCGTGTCCAGCTCCACCAAAGGTGGCACTGGCTCAGGCTCCGTACTCTCGCTTCTGCTCCTACTTTGGCTTGGACTTTGATTGCTGCTTGGACTGGGACTGGGACTGGTGTTGGAACTTGCGTTTGGACTCTTCCTCGGCTCGCTACGCTCCTGCTTAAGGGGCGACGAGACGGCTGGAGTCAGGGGAGCCGGCAGCGTCGGCGTCGTGGACGGGGAGTTGGTTAGCATGGCGGGCATAACGGCCGTTGCCCTTTCCTTGGTCTGCTCCGGTTTGGGAGACTGTGTCTGCGGCGGCCAGTGGGTGGACTTTAAGACGCTTTGGCTGCCGGAAGAGGAGGGACTTTCGGCGAGGACCACCAACGAGGATCCCGAGGTAGAGGCAATATTGTCATCTACAGCCTTGACAGCCTTATCCTTCTCCCGCTCCTTTTCTTTCTTTTCCTTCTCCTTTTCCATGTCGGCAATCTTCTTTAGGTAACCCTTGTCCTGGGTGGGACACTCAAGGTGGACGCAATGAAAGATCTAAAAGAAAAAGCAATAAGTACAAAAATCTCAAAGGCTACGGCCCACTGCTAACCTCATTTGCTGTATTCCTAGTGCCCACAATGCGGATAAAGACAACGGGTCGCGGAGCGAAATGGAAGTTCTGCCAGGAGCGTGCCTTGTCATTGCGTCGATCCACCACCATCTGCCAGTCTTTGCGGTTCGTCGAGGTTTCGATGTAGAAGCTGTAGGTGCGGTCATCGCAGTCCCACAATAACAGGCGCATGGAGCCAACGTGATAGGGCTGGCCAAGACGAACGACGATCTCACCGCTGCCCAATTGGTGGCACGTGTAACCCGAGTCCCAGTCATACCGCACATAGTCTCCATTGATCAGAGCATTCCGAGTGCGACTTACACCGTCCGTCACAATGGCGCTCATCTCGATGGTGGCCACGTTCGCCTTGGGCGCCACAAAATGGTCGATGAGTCGCGGTACCTTGGCCGTGTGCATAGCTTCCAGTCCCACCACATGGAATACCTATTCGTGGGAGATTAAATTCAAGATTAAGACGTTGTAATGTACGACGCATAACCCCAAGGAGGTGCTAACTTACCCGGTTGACTGTGTTCTGGGTTCCCACCAGCCGAATAAATCTCACGGGACGCGCTGCGAAGTACAGGTACTGCCAAGAGCGACAGTGGTAGTCGCTGTAGTCGACCACGCGCTCCCAATGCTGCTGGTCACCGGACACCTCGACGAAGTACGAGTACGCCCGACTGTCGCTGTCCCAGAGAAGCATGCGGATGTGATTGATCATGCAGAGCGTGCCCAGTTCGACCACAATGCCCGCATCGTTGCTGTCCGTGATGCAGTGGCGCGTATAGCCGTGCTCCATGTCGTAGGTGGTCACATCGCCGTCCAGCAGGGCGGTGCGGCACTCGCCCTGAATGCAGCGCGACAGAAACTTGGCCGTGGCCACGTTCTCCTCCGGCCAGAGGGCTGCCCTGTAGGGCAGCGTCTTTGAGGTGCTCCGCTCGTCGATGGCGTCGAGGATCTTGTCGGGATCCAGGATGCCCGAGGGACGCACCACCTGCAGCAGATGCTCGAGGTTCATCAGCGGCAGGCGGACAAAGCTGACAACCGATCGGATGTCCACATTGGGATTGTAGCGGCTCCATTTCCACACTGCCAGAAAAATCTGCACCTCGGGGGCAAAGAAGCAGTCGCGTCGCAGCACCTCCTCCAGCGATTCCTGCATGGATAAGCATTAGTATTATATACAATCAATCAATACGACTTAAACCCACCTTGGACAGGGTCTTGAAGGAGTCGTGCTGCAGCAGCTCGGCGGCATTGCGGTCCATGAACATGAGGCACACCTGGGTGAGCTCCTCCAGGTTGTAGAGTCGCGCGGCGTCCAGGATCATGCAGACATTGCTGAGGGCCAAGTACTGGCGCAGATAGTTCGAGATGGCCATCTCCAGGTCCTGGAAGCCGTACTGATTGGCCATGCCTAGGACATCGATGACGGAGTCCTCGTCGAGGGTCGAGAGGAGCAGGGTGCCCGAGTAGATGTAGCGCAGGAGGACCTTAAACGGATCGAGCGGCACCTCCAGCGGTATTTGGCGCTGCGTGGTCTCGGCCATTCCGCCGTAGAGCAGCGCCCGGAAGTACTCGCTGCGGGCGGCAAGGACGACACGGTGGGCAGGCAGGCGCTGCTCCTCGACGATGAACTCCACGTCCGCGTAGCGCTCGTTCATGCAGAGGCGGGCCATGTCGGCCGAGAAGCGGTCGCCCAGGTCGATTTCGTCGGTGAACTCCTGATCCTGGGCGCCACCGTTGTTCTTGCCGGAGGCGCTGGATGCCGCATTCTGCAGGCCGCCGGACAGACCGCCCCCGCACCCCTGCATCTTATGGTGTCCCTGGCTGCTCATCCTGGTGGTGATTGGCTGCTCTGCTTCCGTTTGTGATTGGATGGTGTGTTTCTTCTTTTTTGCCCGAGAACAGTTAACAATATACGTCTCGGCTGCTGCGTCAAACCATCGATGACACGGGCTATCGGTAATATCGATAACATCCCCTTAGCAGTACAAAAACTACTGTTATCGCAAGCCAGCAATGGTCACACTAATCTATACCAATGGAGAACTTCCATGGTAAAAATTCACAGTAGTGTCCTTAACAAGCAGTTGACTATCAAAAAATATGTAGATACAGTTATTAACTTTAATCATAATCGCGTTGTTAATTTATGTTCTTTATGTAAGACTTTTTTTATAGTCTCTCCACACAGCCGCGTATAATCGTTGTTGCAATTTTAAGCGGATTCTTCTTGTTCACTTAGAGAATCGCTGAAGCCAACAGCTGATCGGCATAAGCAAACCGTATCCGAGTTGTTCAGAAAAACTAAATACAAAATAAACGCTAGCATATGGAATGCTTTCAGCGTTAAATGACTATTTCATTAATATATACTACAAATCAAGGATGACAATTCCATTCAGGCAAGTCAGTAAAAATGAAATAGGTACTATTGAATATTAGAACCTTTTTTAAGAAACAATTTGGTCCAATTAAAAGAGGTGGAAGGTGGAGGTGGAGGTGCTTTAAATGGCTTATTCTGTAGATAAATAGTATATATTTTGGTGCAACAGTAGCCAGGTCTTGCAAGGGACATAAGCTGGAGGTTGATCATTTCCTTAAAAAAAGCATAACAATATTTCATTTCACGATGAGACCATTTGCTTGGTCCTGCATCAACAATTGCGAAAAGCCGAGTACAAAAATCAGCTAGACCTTTAAAAAGTACTGAGTAAAAACACTGAAATACTTAATTGATTTCTGTGTGCCGAGTGACTTTTCCCGTCTCTTATTAGCACGTATATTGCTTGTCGCTGAAGCGGAATTTGGTTGCTGAAGTGGAAACCCCCTCTGTGTGAATGGGATTAGTGATGTGCCAAATACATCGATAGTCGCCAAGAAACATCGATGTTTTTAAAAATGTTTATAACATCGCTGCATCGATGTTTCCATCGATGATTATCCACCGCTACTCTAGACTTGAATTTCAGCCCGTTAGGTCGAACGAAACACAGAGCAAAAAAAAACACAAGAAGACACACACACACATCGCATCGATATTTTTCCGTTGAAAAGAAAAGCGAAAGGAAACAAGTGAAAAGCCAACCGAAAGCTGCGTTTCTTAGCCAATTACCTGTTAGCCACAATCATGAAGTTCCAATACAAGGAGGAGCACGCCTTCGAGAAGCGTCGCGCCGAGGGCGACAAGATCCGTCGCAAATATCCAGACCGTGTGCCCGTAAGTACTCGACCATATATATGTATATATATTAGCTATATGTATATGCGTGCATGTATGTGCGTGTATCTGTGTATGCGTTTGTTTTGCGTCGTTTTTTTCTTCTTTTTTTTTTGTTTGTACCGAAGAAAATCAATACTGCGCATATTGGTTATTTCAATGATTGTTAGTATTATGGCAGGGAAAAGCAGGTGGGTGGGGAAAATTCGTGCGAAGGGGGGTTGCATAAAATGCATTTGCAGCTGAGAAAACATTTGCGAAAAACTCGAAGGAAATTCAAATGAAAATTGTCCCCCACACACATGCACATACACATGCAGAACACACAGATGTACAGAAGAAAAAACAAAAAGAGAACAAAGCAGCTATTTCACTTGCTCAGCTGTTGAGGTGTTGTTGTTTTTCAGTGCTCTCCTCTCTCTTCCTGTTTCTCCCTCTCCCCACCACCCTCACATTTACACAGAAAGAAAAAGTGTGTATAACTTGTTATTAAATAAGTTGTCAAAAAATCTTATAAATCCAGAATCCAGTTTGATTTCTTGTGACATTCATTAATCAATCGGCCACCCTTTTCTCTCTGTGCACAAACCAGTTGTTTTTGATTTTAATTTCGTTTGTTTGCTTGCAAAAACGAGCGAGTACTGCGCATAAAAAAAATAAAACCACTAACACTAGCGCTGCTCGTTTTGTTTTCGCAAACACACAAACTGCGACTGGAATTAGTCATAGATGCGCTGAGAAAAACAAAAATAAAAACAAAACCGAGGGGAGTCTCTTCTTCTTTGTTGTTTTTCTGCTATTTCACCACCTTATCAGCAAACTCCTTTCACAAAAACAAAAAAATCAGCTGAAAACAAAAACCCTGAAGGTGCCCCAATCGCAACGAGAAGTGCATTATATTCGCGCTCTTGTTTTCGATTTTGATTTGAACTACATATGTATATACAAAGCTACATATAGGCGATATATGCATCTCAAATATTGCCCGTATCCGAGTGTTATTTTCGTTTGTTTTTGGCAAGTGCGCGGATGCCAAAACACAAATCACATAACAGCTGAGCAGGGGCAAGGCCAGCTGGTCCGGACCATATATATCCGAATTCTATATAGTGTACGTTCTATGTCAAACCAACACCTTGATTTCGGCCAATGACGCTAACGAATTTGGTGGGGGACTTAGATAGGTATTGCAGTAGTTGTTTCAGAGGGGTGGATGAGCAGTTTGCTAATTTCGTATTCATTATGTTGAGCCCCGCTTCCTGCTCCAAAGTTTGCCAAACCAGTTTATCGATAATTTGGCCAAAGGCTAACGTATAACCCCCTTGGCTAGAACGGATCGTCTAGGCCAAAGCACTGGTGATCATTCTAATATAAGTGTATGGTACAGCTAACCTTTTTTAACTGGCTAGTATGTTTAATACAAAGTAGTTTGCCTTATTTTACCAACCAAAAACGAGTTAAGACCTAGAGACCTTGATTACAATACAAAACAGTACATCAAAACGAATGAAATCGAAGTCATATCATCTGACATTTCGTTCAATTCACTTATATTTGTAATACAAAGGATATTGCCCTTATTTTACCAGTCAAAAACTAGTTAAGTTCTAGAGACACAGATTAAAATACAAAACAAATGAAGTTTATAATCTGACAACTGGTTCAATTCACTAATATTTTTAATAAAATGGATAATACAATTTTTTATCAATAAAAAACTAGTTACGACCTAGGGACCTTGATCAGAATACAAAAAAATTCATCAAAACTCACGAACACGAAGTCATATCTTTTTAAAATTCTTTCCAAAATTCCCAATTAATAATCCTAAATTAAATTGAATTTTAAATAATAATAAAAGCTCTTACTAGAATTCCAATTGAGCACGAAATACACGTGTGTGTAATGGCATATTCAAACTTACGAAATTACTAAATGCAGCACGAAATTACTCACTGCTTTTACGCAATTACTCATTCTATTGTATTGTTAATATTAATAAAGGCAATTTTTTTTATTAATTATGATAGCTTTACAAAAAAGGTATACAACAAAATTCATTTGGATATTTAACACATTTTCTAGTAAATACTCTCTGTTTCTTACATTAATTTGGTTCATGATAGGTTATGAAATGTCAATAGTACACCTATTTCAAATAAACAATCGAAATTACGTGGTTTCTGTATAATATTAACCACAAAGTTGTTTAAATTGAGCCTGCTTAAACTGGTTGTAACCATTATTGATTTCCAAGGTAGCACGTATTCGAGCACACATGACACTTTAGAAATGCAAAAGCTACGTTTTTTTGCGAATTATGTGAACATTTTTCGGCACGTAATCGGGTCTTTGAAGTGCGAACATAATTAAGTGGCTCACTTTTTTTTCCAAACTTATTTTACCACCAGGTGATTGTCGAGAAGGCTCCCAAGGCGCGCATCGGTGATTTGGACAAGAAGAAGTACCTGGTGCCTTCCGACCTGACCGTCGGTCAGTTCTACTTCCTCATTCGCAAGCGCATCCACCTGCGTCCCGAGGATGCCCTCTTCTTCTTCGTGAACAACGTCATTCCACCAACATCGGCAACCATGGGCTCCCTGTACCAGGTAGCTACTCTTCCTTACTATCGTATCCCCATGCCTTAATCTAATCCTATTCCCCCTTTTAAAGGAACACCACGAGGAGGACTACTTCCTGTACATTGCCTACTCCGATGAGAACGTCTACGGCATGGCCAGGGTCAACTAACTCTGCTACGGATTGCGGCGGAAAACTACCCCCTATACAGAAATCTATATATAAATAAAATATATTTTGTGTTTAGCATGCAAGCTTAAAATATGGACGCGAGTTAGCTAAACGAATTGAGGAAAACCGCAGGAAATGCCACACGAAAAAGAAAGAACTTGAAAATGATCTGAACCAGGGCAACAAAAAAAATCCACAAAAAACAGAAAGAAAACTACAAAAACAATTGTTATGTGAACATTATTTTATATATATACATTTTCTAAACGCGTTAGTATTTGAATTAAAATCTGCTTTGTCCTACCATTAACCCCCCCGAAAACAGATCTATTCACACCCTCTACGGCCCATCTAATTTCCATTGCTGTACTTGATCCGTGCGATTGCACTTGTACTTTATTTGTTCGCTTATTTCAATGATTTCACCCTTTTTTTTACAATGCAACAGAATGTTGTGCATATTTAGTGTGTATGGTTACGAATAGGACTCTCTCGGTTAAGTGTACGGTAATTAATCTATTATTAAATAAACAAAAACACAAAAATATACAAGCTTAGTGTTTATGGGGGTGGCTTTACTTTGAAATTGGATAGGAATAACTTTCAGTTAGCCATATTGTATATTATCATTAACATTAAACTGATTGCGAGGCATGAGACAGGAACAAGTGATTTCTCACTGTTTCTACTTTTGTTGAAAGAACAATGCATTCTTATCTCTTTTAAAAAGGAAATGAGTTCATACCATGGGTTGATGGTTTTTCTTGTATTTTGTTTAAGTAGGGGACAATAGGAATGATACTTTTTGTTGTGTTATTAAAATTAATCTGCTAGACAAACAACTAGTTATTTGGTAACAATGGCTTTTGTTAAAACATTTGTATTTTACAGGTAATTAGATAAATCATTTGGTTAAACGCTATTTTAGGGTTTTATCGTAAATAAACTATATTTTATGAGTTAATGCAAAACAATATTTACGTAGATTTTTAATCAATTTGTAATTGAAGCAAATTTATTTTTTCAATGTTTAATTAGTGACAGATAGCATTGTTTTATAAAGCTTACGTGGTACTAGCAAGACATAAACAATAAACGGTTAGTGGGTGACGTATTTGCTTTGTTTCGCTAATTAATTGCTTATCTTATCGCAACAAAGGGAACTCGCTTAGCATTTAAAATTGGCGCCCAGTATCTTTTTGATGGGCAGCACTGGCACCAACGGAAGCCTGGTCACACTAACGATAGCTAACTATTTTAAAACCGCGATACAGTCCGTCTCGCTCTTCCCGCCAAGAAGGGCACGTGCAGAAAAGAGAGGAAAGAAGTGGCAAAAATACTGAATACTTGGCGATTTCTGCGCATGGCGTTTTCGGCATTTCTTCGGGAGCCACAGAAGACCCCAATGTAATTTTCAATGAATTAAATGTGAAACATCGTGCCAAAGTGCAGACAGTCAAAGAAGCAGGTAAATCAAATACACCTGGTCGGCTGCTAGAAGGCCAAAAGCACAAAAAGCCGGATAAAAGCGGACTAGTTACAAAACAGCCCAAAGAGGTGCAAAAAGGAAAAAGAAACTACCAACTATTGCGAATTGTTTGTTATTGCTGTGCTAGTGTTGTTGTTGTTGTTGTGACTCGTGACGATGGAAATTAGTGAACTAGTAACGAAGTTTAAAAAAAAAAACAAAAACAGTGGCAGCTCGGCAACTGATATATGTGGGCTCAATTGATTTTTGTGCCCTGTCTGGTTTGTTGTTGTTAGGGGGTGGTTTTAAAAGCCCCTCGCAAAGCCACCACCCCCCCGACCCCGGGTTTTTGAACTCTGGGCGGAAAAACAGCTGCAACGATTGCCACACGAAAAGCAAAAAAAAAAAACAATGTCGGGGAGAAAACTAAACTTAACACTTATTGAATTATGGCGAAACTCGCTGACTAAAACAAAAACAAAAGAATGAGAATAAGTGAAGAAACAACAACAACAGTCGTGTTTTTGTCCACTCAGCTTGTTTTTGTTGTCTTTCTCGCCGTCCGCTTTGTGCTCTTCTTCGCTTCTGTTTTGTGCTCCTGCTTCTGGTGGTCTGCTTCTTCTTGCTCTCTCCCCCCGTTTTTTTACGCGCATGTGGATTCATTTTATTGGTGCTCAAGTATCGCATGATAATCTCACGCTACGTCCCTCGTAATTGTTGTTGTAATCGCTGTTGGTTCTGCTCGTGGAGCTTTGTTGTTGTGCTTTTCCGCCTCTCCCACACACACACACACTCAGTCAGTCAGTCACACACATTGGCACCGCCAGCTTGCCGAAAACTGAAGCCATTTTCCCAGCAAATCAAATTCAATTTAGAAAACTATCAACTAACCCGTAGAATGTGAGAACAAAATTTAAGTCAAGGCAAGCCAAATATTCAGTACCCTAACTTTTTGAAAACCCTCAAGAACTGTTCAAAGATCTTTCCTAAACAAAAACATCAAGGTATAGTTTCGATACTAACATAATTCAAAAAATGGTGCACCCTTACTTTTCAAAAAAACCCTCGAGTGCTTTTCAAAGATCTTTCCTAAATACAAGACAACAACAAGATATAGTTTCGATATTACCAAAACTCAAAGATGTTCTTTCCTTACTTTGAAAACCCCTAAGAACTTTTCAAAGATCTTTCCTAAAAAAATGTCAAGGTATAGTTTTGATATTACCATAAGTCAAAAAATGGTGTACCCTTACTTTAAAAAAAACCCTCGAGTGCTTTTCAAAGATCTTTCCTAAACAAAAACATCAAGGTATAGTTTCGATACTACCATAAGTCAAAAAATTGTGTACCCTTACTTTAAAAAAAAACCCTCAAGTGCTTTTCAAAGATCTTTCCTAAATACAAGACAACAACAAGATATAGTTTCGATATTACCAAAAGTCAAAGATATTCTTCCCTTACTTTGAAAAACCCTAAGAACTTTTCAAAGATCTTTCCTAAAAAAATGTCAAGGTATAGTTCTGATATTACTATAAGTCAAAAAATGGTGTACCCTTACTTTTAAAAAAACCCTCAAGTGCTTTTCAAAGGTCTTTCCTAAATACAAGACAACAACAAGATATAAATTCAAAGATATTCTTCCCTTACTTTGAAAAACCCTAAGAACTTTTCAAAGATCTTTCCTAAAAAAATATCAAAGTATAGTTTCGATATTACCATAAGTCAAAAACTGGTGTACCCTTACTTTAAAAAAAAACCCGCGAGTGCTTTTCAAAGATCTTTCCTAAATATAAAACAACAACAAGATATTCTTTCGATATTACCAAAACTCAAAGATTTTCTTCCCTTACTTTAAAAAACCCTAAAAACTTTTCGAAGATCTTTTCTAAACAAGAACACCAACGAAATATAGTTTCTATATTACCAAAAGTCAAAAAATGGTGTACCCTTACTTTTCAAAAAAACCCTCGAGTGCTTTTCAAAGATCTCTCCTAAATATAAAACAACAAGATATAGTTTCGATATTACCAAAACTCAAAGATTTTCTTCCCTTACTTTGAAAAACCCTAAGAACACTTCGAAGATCTTTTCTAAGCAAGAACACCAACGAAATATAGTTTCTATATTACCAAAAGTCAAAAAATGTTGTATACAAAATTGGAAAAACCCTTAAGAATTTCTATCTATCTTTATTTATTATTTTAAATTTATTTATTTCACTATTTAACTACTGTTCTTTTTTTTTATTAAAGTTGAATACATTTTCGGTTCTTCTAGCTATATAATGTTTTGCTATCAATTCCGATTGATACCATTGTTAGAGTTTACAAAATCTTATTTTTTAATATCCCTTAAAGGATTTGAAGACAAAAATGGCTTAGCTCATACTCACTGTCATAATTTTTATCACTTATACGAATCGTGGCAATTCTGACACATGTGAATTTAAATATGAGTCATGGAAAAAACCTACGTGTTATTATTTTTTTAAATTATAATAAAACATATTGTATACCTTTTAATTTTATTTCATTCAACTGAAATAAAAATAGATTGTCAACTGAGAAGATACCTATAAAATTGTATGCCCTGATAGGAGGATAAACTAGTGGAACCCAAAGATTAACCACTCTCAAAATTATCTTTAACCGTTGAGCTCGGGTTATAACCTAGTTTATTATCACATAGGCATGTATCCCCTTATCAGTGCCCAAGTACTTTTGAGACTCCCAGCTGTCGTCCAAATGATAGTACCCTTTGCCAGGGCATGACACAAACATACGAAATCAGGGCAAGCTCGTTGGAACAATTCGAAATTAGAGTAGCATTCAGTACAGTACACTTTGCACCCTCGCCAGTCGAAAGCTTATCAGTTTATCAGTGCCACCGGCGGGCATTTTTCGTTTCTCGGTCCTGACACTTTTCACGAACACTCTTTTTGCAGTGCATGCAGCCGGGAAACGGTCTAAATTTGAAATTCCTTAAATTACCGGTCACCGATTCGAAACGAGATTCGACTAACCAATTGGACTTACTGTCTTTTTTTCCCATTTTTATTTATGCAAAAAAAAAAACGAAACACAGCCGCTTGCCAACCGCTTAAATGTCACAACACTCGAAAAAGGAGAGCAGCAGTGGCCATGCGATCCAGAGCAATCGACAACACAGCAGCGGCAACAGCAACAGCAACAACAAGAGCCACAAGCGGCAGGCGGCCAATGGCAATCTGAAGGCCCAGTCGAACTCCCACCACCCCCACAGCCAAACCTCCTCGAAATCGCTAAGTAGCAGCAGCGGCAGCGGCAGCGGCAGCTCCAGCAGCAGCAGCAGTAGAAGCCTCAGCGGGAGCAGCATGCAGGACACCAGCACATCCTTGCTGCCGGCGGCGGCGGCTGGCAAGGCACAGAAGAAGAACCAAAAAGACAAACAGCGGGAGCGGGAGCGCGCGGAACGCAGCCAGCTGGTCCTCTGGCGACATCCCCTGCAGACCACCAAGTACTGCGGCCTCGAGCTGGCCGCTCTCCTGCGGACGTGGAGCATCAGGTGAGCACCATCTGGTCAGGCTGCATCTCTGGAATCTAATAACCCATCTTCTTCTTATAGACTACTGCAGCAGCGACTCTTGCTGGCCGCCCTGATAGTATTAGGCATCGTATTTAGCGTAATTTACAAAATAGACGGCCCCCATCAGTTGGCCATCGAGTTTGTGCGCAGGAACACCTGGTTCTTCGTCTACTGGCTGGGCCTGGGCGTCCTGTCCTCGGTGGGATTGGGCACTGGACTGCATACGTTCCTGCTCTACCTGGGGCCGCACATAGCCAGCGTCACGCTGGCCGCCTACGAGTGCAACTCGCTACGATTCCCACAGCCCCCGTATCCCGATGAGTGAGTATCTCTAAACTGCAGACACTCAAGGAAAACTTTCATCAATTGGTGTGGTTTCCCATAAAAGCCTTGGCTCCGTGGAATAGAGCGGAATGAAATAACACTGCGGCTGAAAATGAAATTGGACCCCGAGGTCTTAATTCATTTTTAAAAGTGAAGTAAAGCCGCGACTCAAAAATGAAATAAGGCAGC